TCACGACCAATGCACGTCGACTTGGATGCCATTGCGAGAACCTGGGTCACACGGACAGAGCTGAAATGGAAAACAAACAGAAAAGCCAACACACCACAAGCATACCCACAGCACAATCTCACACATCGCTGACGACCTGCGCCTCCAGACAGAGACCTCCTCTTGACATCTTGCAACACAATCGCCACTTACTAGAATGACTCTTGCAGAATGCAAAGTGACCATGGCAGGACCTCACGATACTCTACGCACATCCTCTTAATTACTCACTACCAATTACCATTGAAATCGCTTGTCACTCATTCTGCCTCAGTTCTAGTAGCGGTGACGCATGCGAGCCTCAGTCGTTTACACTCTTTCTCCCCGGCGTGTCGGACCGCAGCTAACAATTATCTCCGTGTGCGTTTCATTCTCAGCAATAGCCTAGCCTCCCCGGCGTATACGACCCATCTGCTGTCTCTAACATCAATCAATTCATTCACGGATGTAGAAGACAAGAAACAACTTCAGAAGTAATCACGACGAAAATTTTAACAAAATTATGCAAAAAAAACAAGGCACGAAAACAACGAGTAAACACAACTGATCCAAAATCACAAATTGCGAAGACACACCACACGTATACACAAACAGTACAAACAACCTCGCGGATCATGTCTTGGTGGAATTATTTTGAAGAATTGGAGGACTTACACCAGTACGCCTGCAACCCTTCACAGGTTGACGATTGTAAGTTGTGGAATGTCCAGACACAAACAAGATTAACCAACAATTACATCAATTGGAACTCACACAACTATTTAACACAAACATATGTACAATCAACACATCAAATGTTGTGGATTCTGACACGACAAACTACCCTTGAAGAACCGTAGGACTTACAGCAGTACGCCTACATTCCTTCTCAGGTTGATGATCCAAGTGGAAGTCGTCCGGACACAAACAGAATTACCAACAGCTAGATGACAGATGATATCAATTCAGTATATACAATATGAACATATGTACAAGATCACACACCAAGCACATTGGACTGCTCATTGATGCGCTACCCTTTGAAGAACTGTAGGACTTACACCAGTACGCCTACAACCCTTCTCAGGTTGACGCCCTAGGTTGGAAAATCGTCGCAGAGTTCATTTGCTAACTTCCTTCTATCAGCTATATCCTCAAATCTGAACGGCAACACGCCCATGTATGAGGAGAATATACATTGTTAAAGGAGACAGGTTCATCAAGGTGAAATGGTCACAGACTAAGCGAGCGAACAGAATGAGAGAGATCACCATACGCACACACATAAATATATATATGTGGATACATATCACCTCCCTTTTTGAGAAGATTGATGATTAGTAGGATGTTTTCCTAGGGGTTCATCCGGAACGGTTGAGCTTGTTGTTGACGTCTGTCGTTTCGTCTGCCTGTTGGGTTTGCGGCTTCGGCTTCGTCCGGAATTGTCTGACAATTTATGCTTCTTGGCTGCATTGCATAGCGAATTTAGTGGGACATCAGCCAGACGCAAACGATCGAACCAATCAAGTCCCAAAAGATTTGAATCATTCTTCGTGACGTAACAAATTCCTGTGAATTTGGTATTGCGGAAGGAAACAAAACATTTGAGTTCACCAATAAGTTTGAGCTGCCCACCACAGGCGCTGACAAGAGACTGGGAAGTATTGGTGATAGATTGTCTGCCAATAGTATTCCAATGTTTCTCTGATATAACAGTAATATCAGAGGCGGTATCTAGCTGCAGACGTGTATCATGACCATTCTGAAGATCAAGATATTTCCGCATACCTGGTGTTGTGACTTGACAGGTTGCGCGTAGACTCAATGATTTTTTTGGAGATTTAGGACCAACAGTTTGTCGAGCTTTTGCTGGATTTTGATATCTGGGCTTGCGTGGCTGACAAAAACCATTTTTGTGACCGATGATCTTGCACTTGCTGCAACGATGATTTTTGTATGGACAAGACTTTACAAAGTGCCACGCGCCACAATGCCAGCATGGTGATGGTGGGGTCTTCTTTGCAGTATTTTGTGAAGTTGGACGAGTATGTGTAGATTTCCGCGGAACATTAGGAGAAGTAGGTGGGTCAGGAGTAGCTGATGAGAGATTTTTGCTCTTGCGTAATGCACGAATATCAGAGCTTCTCGGAGGTGTCAACGGACTGTCAACAAACACTCATATTATATGTAATATAATATAAGGAGAATACACATTATTAAAGGAGACAAGTCCATACAAGTGAAGTGGTCACAGACTAACCGAGCAAATAGAAAGAGAGACCAACATGCACACACACACATAAATATATATATGTGGATACATATCAGTCAGTTCTTCTATACGGGTGAGAAAGTTGCACTGCGTGTCACGAAAAGGATTTCCGACAGCCAATTACAGACTTTTACCAACAGATGGCTTCGCGGGCTGTATATTACAGGTCAAATGGCCGGAAAGAGTCAGCAACAAGAAGCTCTGGTTGGGGACACGAACTAGGAGCCGATTGCTCGACAAATGCGTAGGAGGAAATGGAGATGAATCGGACATATGTTGACGAGACCATTGAACGACATCGCGCTCAGTGCAGATCATTGCTTGAGGAGAAGGTGAATCAGAAGTGAAGAGTGGGTCGGCGATGTGAGCATGACATGGAGAGGTCCGTGTGTTGGGCGGGAGGAGATGAGATATTATGGTCAATCGTTTACCCAGGTGAAGAGGACATCAGAAAATAGAAGAGAGTGGAGATGTGTTGTTGAAACCGTATGTTCCAGTCGTAACCCAAGAGATAGTAATAACATTATATTAATAACATTTTATAGTTTAGTTTTACTTTAGTGTCAGAGATATAGTGTTGTAATGGTTAACGAATATGTACTTGGCCCTAGGTTTGACGTTCAGCCGATGCACTCCTAAACGTCGCTCAGCCGGTAGTAAGCCTGGGAAAGAGTGGAGGTTGTACTTCATGGTGGTGATCCCCTCACGATAACTGATCATCCAGCTCTGCCCTGACTGACTGATTTCAACATAGAACTTTGCACCGATGTGCAGCAGTTAAAGTCGCCACAATCCCTCTATACAGCACACAAAGCAAGAGAAAGAAGCAAAAAAACATTTAAAACAGAGATAATAAACAGGGATGTGAAGGAGAAAGAATAGTAATATCGAAAAACAATATAGTTTCATTGGATATTATAAGTCCCAAGGAGTGAATGCATCTGCGCCAGCCATTGAGAACGATCACTTTGAGCCGTATCACCGATTGTCTCCAGTCATTGGTGTTTACCGTCCCGATGACCCCAACTACGAAATCTACACCTGATGTGGCTTAAACTGACTGTTGTGGATTTCATTGACTGACTGATGAAGCCCTGGTTTGGTTTGACCACCGGTAGTTCCTTTCCAGTCTGACCCTATATCAGCTACATTGCCCACTGTGGGAGAATGTGATGGCTAGGTATACGTAACACATATCCTAACCATCTCAATCGATGTTACTTTACAGTCTCGTCTACTGATTTTCCACCTCACTTACCTAGCACTGGACCGATGCCTCACCTCAATATTGCTCACCTTGTTATACCACTTCACACGGGAGATTGAACGGAGTCATCTATGATCAAAGACAGCTATCCGGCCAGGCTTTTCATGTCTTCCAATAATCTCAGCGGCCAGGTCCCACAGCTAGACATAAAGGAGGACGAAGCGGACTCCTGAGCATTGCACACGTCCTTTGGTTGACAGTCAGCTGGATATCACGTCTACTAAGCCAGAAGCGGTGTAAACTGGCATATGCAAAACCAGCCTTCTGTATCCCTGCCGAGATTTCGTCAGCGATCAACCTATTGACTCTGGCTGACACAACTTCCCAAATAAGTGAAGTGGTCAACATGCTCCACCAACGACTTCACTCCCTATTTCTAAGCTAGAAGTCAATGTAGTCCAGTCCTGTAGAAGATCGAATACCGATCTTGATTCTGGGTGCACATTAGTTGATACAATCAATATATAACATATGTCAGTTTATTTGGTGACTATGTTGACCAGCGAAATGCGGAGAAAAAATGCCACCTTCAAGTTTACCCTCACAACTATCGTGGTCGTAAACACGACATTTTTTCGTCAACAGAATTACTGAGAATTTCTTCAAGACACTTCACTACAGTTTTTGTAGGCAGTATGCAAGTCTCTACGAAGCGGATAAATCTCCCTATCGTTGGATTTCTTCATCAAAATAGAAAATGTCGTTGACCACAAGTTGAAACGGAATACTTTGTTGCACTAATAGTCACTTTTCGTTAATCACTTACTTTGTGGTGAGAGCTGTCTGCTAGCCAAAATTGGCAGACAGCAATTTACGTCAATATTTACGTCCCAGGTCTTGGTCATGAGAAGAAAACTCGAACAAAGACTAACTCAACAACTGATAACAGCAGACTTTGAGTGGGCGGATGCAGTTCGCATATATATTGTCTGACTTTGAAAGAAGCGCCTGCAAGGAGATGACAGAGGATGAGATGAGGAGATGACAGCGAGGAAACAAGCAATCGGAAGACGCTGTTTCTCTGCTAATAGTAACAAATAATAATGTACATGTACAATGTATATATAAATATGTGTTGATTTTCTCAATAAACGATCTGTTGCCTGGCGGCCCTTGTCTCCCGTCGTTACAAGTTAACGATATAAAAGAGTAGTGCACACATGGATTTGAGGCAATGACGTATAACTCCTTTTGATAATTAGACTTCATGTTCACACATGATTTGAAGGCCAGAATTCTAACCTCTAGCTTGTAAATTACTGATAATCCAAAGATCTATCAAGTGACCTTTGAAACCCTGACTGATGTCATTGCACTAACCACAAGTGGTAAGCCCAGCTGTGTGTGTGTGTGTGTGTGTGTAATCGATAATAGCCTTACTGTATTTATTGATTATCACATTACCACCTATTTATTGTCATTTTCTTCTTAATTTTAACAGGAATGAAATTTACGTGTGATTTATGCGATAAGAAATTTTCAACAAAAGATGCAAGCGATCGACACTTTAAAGCTATTCATGAAGGTGTTTTTGATTGACTATATTTTAAATTTGTTTATCAAACACTTTTTCTATATATGATTCTATGTATATGTAAACAGCGTCCATATGACATTGTAATTGGACGAAGTAGAGAGCACTAGCGAAAAGAAGCGAATCTGTTTGAATGCATTGATAAACTTCAGTGCTACAACTGACACTTTTTTAACATTAACTACCACAGATGAAATGAGATAGTCAAAGGTAGGTGGTACCTTTCCACTAACTGAGAATTCTTCTATGTTTGGAATGATAATAAATCCCATTAAGACGGGTGATGTAGGTTGGGTCTCGGTGACCGAATGGTCTACGAGCTCACTTTGTAGCTGGGAGGTTCTGGGTTCGAAGCGGGTTGGGGCGGTAGGTGAGTTTGAAACTAGACTGACGAAACAGCTGTCCAGTAGTTGAAGGCTTGTTTTCAATAATGGTTCTCGAACTGATATCAATCCGTGAACAGGCCTCTAAGAAAACAGTATCCCTTCGAATGTCTTTTCTTGTAATCATGTTTTTTCAGTTTGAAATAGCTGTATTATGCCTTGATTGAGGACTCCTTCAAATTGGCTTGTTTTGAGTTTGGGAAGACTTCTTTTCAAGTTAATTCCCGTATTGATGTTAATTATGGGATCATGGAAAACGACGGTGTAGTAGACAGTTGTTTTCTCATGGTTTGAGGCTCTTCAGTTTTCAGTGTGCACCCATGATCATCCGTCGAGGCCTTCATTTCGCGAGGCGAAGTCGTCGAGTCTTCATCGACTGTCGTGGAATGCGATGACGATGGGTTCCAACTCTTGTAAGTTTGTGATGTATATCATGACGAAGTAAGCCTGGGAAAGAGTGGAGGTTGTACTTCATGGTGGTGATCCCCTCACGATAACTGATCATCCAGCTCTGCCCTGACTGACTGATTTCAACATAGAACTTTGCACCGATGTGCAGCAGTTAAAGTCGCCACAATCCCTCTATACAGCACACAAAGCAAGAGAAAGAAGCAAAAAAACATTTAAAACAGAGATAATAAACAGGGATGTGAAGGAGAAAGAATAGTAATATCGAAAAACAATATAGTTTCATTGGATATTATAAGTCCCAAGGAGTGAATGCATCTGCGCCAGCCATTGAGAACGATCACTTTGAGCCGTATCACCGATTGTCTCCAGTCATTGGTGTTTACCGTCCCGATGACCCCAACTACGAAATCTACACCTGATGTGGCTTAAACTGACTGTTGTGGATTTCATTGACTGACTGATGAAGCCCTGGTTTGGTTTGACCACCGGTAGTTCCTTTCCAGTCTGACCCTATATCAGCTACATTGCCCATTGTGGGAGAATGTGATGGCTAGGTATACGTAACACATATCCTAACCATCTCAATCGATGTTACTTTACAGTCTCGTCTACTGATTTTCCACCTCACTTACCTAGCACTGGACCGATGCCTCACCTCAATATTGCTCACCTTGTTATACCACTTCACACGGGAGATTGAACGGAGTCATCTATGATCAAAGACAGCTATCCGGCCAGGCTTTTCATGTCTTCCAATAATCTCAGCGGCCAGGTCCCACAGCTAGACATAAAGGAGGACGAAGCGGACTCCTGAGCATTGCACACGTCCTTTGGTTGACAGTCAGCTGGATATCACGTCTACTAAGCCAGAAGCGGTGTAAACTGGCATATGCAAAACCAGCCTTCTGTATCCCTGCCGAGATTTCGTCAGCGATCAACCTATTGACTCTGGCTGACACAACTTCCCAAATAAGTGAAGTGGTCAACATGCTCCACCAACGACTTCACTCCCTATTTCTAAGCTAGAAGTCAATGTAGTCCAGTCCTGTAGAAGATCGAATACCGATCTTGATTCTGGGTGCACATTAGTTGATACAATCAATATATAACATATGTCAGTTTATTTGGTGACTATGTTGACCAGCGAAATGCGGAGAAAAAGATGCCACCTTCAAGTTTACCCTCACAACTATCGTGGTCGTAAACACGACATTTTTTCGTCAACAGAATTACTGAGAATTTCTTCAAGACACTTCACTACAGTTTTTGTAGGCAGTATGCAAGTCTCCACGAAGCGGATAAATCTCCCTATCGTTGGATTTCTTCATCAAAATAGAAAATGTCGTTGACCACAAGTTGAAACGGAATACTTTGTTGCACTAATAGTCACTTTTCGTTAATCACTTACTTTGTGGTGAGAGCTGTCTGCTAGCCAAAATTGGCAGACAGCAATTTACGTCAATATTTACGTCCCAGGTCTTGGTCATGAGCAGAAAACTCGAACAAAGACTAACTCAACAACTGATAACAGCAGACTTTGAGTGGGCGGATGCAGTTCGCATATATATTGTCTGACTTTGAAAGAAGCGCCTGCAAGGAGATGACAGAGGATGAGATGAGGAGATGACAGCGAGGAAACAAGCAATCGGAAGACGCTGTTTCTCTGCTAATAGTAACAAATAATAATGTACATGTACAATGTATATATAAATATGTGTTGATTTTCTCAATAAACGATCTGTTGCCTGGCGGCCCTTGTCTCCCGTCGTTACAAGTTAACGATATAAAAGAGTAGTGCACACATGGATTTGAGGCAATGACGTATAACTCCTTTTGATAATTAGACTTCATGTTCACACATGATTTGAAGGCCAGAATTCTAACCTCTAGCTTGTAAATTACTGATAATCCAAAGATCTATCAAGTGACCTTTGAAACCCTGACTGATGTCATTGCACTAACCACAAGTGGTAAGCCCAGCTGTGTGTGTGTGTGTGTGTGTGTAATCGATAATAGCCTTACTGTATTTATTGATTATCACATTACCACCTATTTATTGTCATTTTCTTCTTAATTTTAACAGGAATGAAATTTACGTGTGATTTATGCGATAAGAAATTTTCAACAAAAGATGCAAGCGATCGACACTTTAAAGCTATTCATGAAGGTGTTTTTGATTGACTATATTTTAAATTTGTTTATCAAACACTTTTTCTATATATGATTCTATGTATATGTAAACAGCGTCCATATGACATTGTAATTGGACGAAGTAGAGAGCACTAGCGAAAAGAAGCGAATCTGTTTGAATGCATTGATAAACTTCAGTGCTACAACTGACACTTTTTTAACATTAACTACCACAGATGAAATGAGATAGTCAAAGGTAGGTGGCACCTTTCCACTAACTGAGAATTCTTCTATGTTTGGAGTGATAATAATAAATAAATAGGTCAAAATGTTTTTGTTATATTTCAAGCATTTCATCCATGATTCAGTCACCAATGGGCATTACATTTATTCTCGAATGATGTAATAGGCAACAGGTAAGAATAGATGCCATAGCCAAATGACCTTGTACCAGCCAGTCATGAGGTGTCTGATAAAAAGTGGTATTTATAGTATAAAAATATTGTTTAGTATATATACATATATATATATATGTGAAGAAAATGAAAGGGTATGTGTCTCTAATATGCTGCAAAAGGTGGCCTTAGTTTTCCATATGAGCGACTATGCTAAACAGACCAAAATCTATATGGGTGCCAGTTATGAGATCCACTGATAACGATAGTCCCAGTGCTCAGTATTTCGAATAGATGTTACTCATAATCATCGTCACAAGATTCACACTAACCTTAACCAATAGCCCAACCCTGTGTTAACACTACCCTAATCCCCTGAATCAGAGTGAAACTTGCAGTGGAGATAATGAAACGCGTTAAATTGTAGTTCTGAGTGATATGATTAGTTGGTTCAAGGTCTTTTTACTGTGGTATGCAACCAATCGTATCGCTTCAAATCAACATTTAAAGACTGCTTTTATTCATATACATTACTTCAGCACATTGTTGGTTGGTTAGTAATAACTAAGGACTCAAGAACATGTAGAGAAGACGGACTGAAATGGCAGTGATTATTCCTCCAGGAGAAAGTAGAAATGACCGGGAATCTGTAGTTCTTTTACATGACCAATAACTAACAATTTTAGTGTATACGAACTGTGTTGTGGCTCATCAGAGAAGTAACAATTAAGATTCTTTGATTCAGATGAGAGTCGAATGTTTCGTCTACATATTTATTCACATTGGTCAGTGGAATCCAGGATGTACATTTCGTCCTATTCGGGAATCGTCAACCTGTGACCGACCATTTTGGTCTAAACAATCGATGGGAAAATCGAAATTAAATTAAAAATTAACAAGACCCGTCGCACAAGAAATGGCTTTCGTGGCCCAAGTGGTCTAGCGGATAATACTTTGGCGTTTGAGACTACATGTACTGGGTTCGAGCCTAGGTGGTAACATCATCACTCACTGGAGAATGCAGGTGCATCCAGTTGACGAGTCAGTCGTCAATTAGGACGGATTGCGCGTTATCCTGGATTCCACTGCTGGTCACTATCAACCGATTGACTTCAACTTACATGACCAGACATCGTCTTAGCATATCTGCATACGGAGCCGTCATGTCAACCTGAGGCCCCAAGCACTTCGATCCAGTCAATCGATGGAGGAATCTAAATTGAATTCAATGATAGACACTGCCTGGTGGTATATTTCATCTCCTCTTCGTTATGACACAGTTATTCTATTTACCCTCTATTTGAATATTAATACTATTGTTGTTATAAATGTTCTTCTGTTTTTGAAAACTGTTCATTAGGCAAGAAGTTTTCTTGTGATCAGTGTGACAGAAAGTTCTATGGTAAATCTATACTCAGAGAACATATTCAAGTTGTTCATGAAGGTAACTACCACTTGTGTTTCGTTTTGTTTCTTTCTCTTTTTTGACATTTTCATTAATTTTTAAAACAAGCAAATGTGATAACATGTGTGTGTTTTATTATTATTGCTCCCTTGGGTTCCTAGTGGAACATAGGGCTTCAACTGCACGTCTCCACTAGCATCTGTCTTCCTTCTGCTGTACTTTTCACCTGCATCCATGTTAGTCCATACTGTTTCAACTCCTCTTCACACGATCTCCTCCATGTCACCCTTGCACAGACGTCCCACTGGCCGCTTCCCTTTTGGGTTCCAGTCGAGCAATGGCCTGACGTGCGCGCGATGTCACCCAGCGGTCTCCTCAGCGAGTGTCTGACCCATCTCCACTTTCTCCTGCATATTTGTTGGTTGGCGATTGGTTCTTGTTTTGTTTGTTCCCATAGTTTCTTGTTGGTGATTGTTTCCGGCCCCCGGCCATCTGATCTTCAGTATAGAGCCAGCGAAGACAGTTGTTGGTTGATAAAGGTAGGTCTGCAACAGGCTGTTGGAAATATTCTTTGTGACCCGCCCTCCAAGTTTCTGATCCGTATAGAAGAACTGACTTGACGCTTGTATTGAAAATCCGACTGAATTTTGTTGTTGATGCTGAGTGACGAAGATTTCCATATTGGTTTGTTTCAGGTTGATGAATGTGTTTCTCGCCTTCCCGATTCTCGCTCGATTTGACATCCTCGTCCATTCCGACTGTCTGTAGTTGATACAATGCTCCCTAGATAAGTGAATGAAGTGACCTCTTTCAAATCCCTCCCGTTGATGGTGATTGACGGTGGATGTTGCTGTTGTTGTTGTTTGGTTATTTTCATCACCTCCGTCTTGTCTATGTTCACTTGGAGTCCTGTCATCGCCGGCTGCTTCTTCGACCAGTTTGTGGGTTTTCGCTCGCTTGTGAGTCTTCGATTTTGTGTGACATCAAGCATAAATCATCCACGCGTGAAATCCTGGTCTTCTAGGTTCTCCGCGTCGGTCTAGGATATCCCTGTCTGCTCGTTTCCCACTCGCTGTCTGACGCATAATCCAGTTAGTCCACAACAATTAGGAATATCAATGGTGATAATAAGAACCCTTGTCTGACTCCTGTGTTTATTCCAAACGCCTCGCTGAGTTTTCCGTTGTGGATCACATGACATGTGCCGTTGTCGTAGAGCCTTTGAGTAAGGTTGATGAATATTTGGGGTACGCCGTAGTACTCGAGTAATTTCCAAATTACTTCACGATCAACGCTGTCGAAGGCCTTCTCTAAGTCTATGAAGTTGAGGTATAGGTTTGAATGACATTCCATGCTTTGTTCTGTGATGATGATGCGTAGAGTTTCAATTTGGTCGGTACATGATTTGCCTTTCCTGAATCCAGCTTGTTCTGGTCTGAGTTGTGTATCCAGTGCGTCGTTTATTCTCTCCAGGATGATGCGACTCAGGATTTTACTTGGCGTCGACAGGAGCATGATTCCTCGCCAGTTCTTGCAGAGTCCTAAGTCTCCCTTCTTTGGTAGTTTCAGGAGGTAACGTTTCCTCCAGTCAGTAGGCACCTTTCCCTCCTTCCAGACTTTTTGCAATAATGGAGTCAGCATGTCTTCTGTAGTCTCTGGGTCCTCCTTTATTGCTTCAAGGGGTATTCCATCTGGTCCAGCTGTTTTTCCAGCTTTCAGAGTCTTGATTGCATTCAAGACTTCAGCTCTCGTTGGAGGATTGGTGTTAACTTGCAGTTGTGTGCGCGCTGTTGTTGGTATTTCTGGACGGGTTGCAGGTGGTGGTCGGTTCAAGAGTACTTTGACGTGATCCGCCGATTCTTTAATCTGTCTTTCTTCCTTGGTAATTGGGTTCCCTTGTCTGTCTTTTATATGTTTCGCTTGTGTTGATCTCTTCCCGGATAGAGATTTGGTTATCTGATATAATGTCGTCAGGTCGCTTTTGCCTGCTGCCTTCTCAGCTTCAGTGGCCAGATTGTCGTAGAATTGTCTTTTGTCCTTTCTAGCATTCTTCTTCACTTCTTTGTCCAGCGCTGTGTAAGTTGAGCTCAGCGTCTCCTTCTCCTGTCCGTCCTTGCATTGAATCATTTTCTTTTTCACCATTCTCCTCTTTTCTATTAGTTTCCAAGTTTCCGTTGAGAGCCTTTCTTTGTCTTGTCTCTTCTTTCTTCCTAAAACCGTTGACTACGTTTAATTGAAAATCACCTTGAGAGAGTTCCAGTGGTCTTCCACGCATGATTCTTCAGTGATGTCGCGTAGTGTTTCCTGCTTTGCTCTGACAGTTGCAGTGAAAGTGTCTTTTGTGGTTGTGTCCTTCAGTAATCGAGTGTCGAACTTGCATTGTGGCCTATCCCCAGCTATCCTCGAGGCTTTTAGCTTCACCTTGAAAGTCCCTTGTACTAGATAGTGGTCTGAACCCACATCTGCTCCTCTCCCCGACCTTGTGTCCAGTAGGCTTCGTCTCCACTTTCTTGAGAATGAGATGAAGTCCATTTTGTTTTTGGTGTTTCCATCTGGTGAAATCCATGTCGTCTTGTGTATTTCTTTGTGTTTGAAAACGCTGCCACCAATCACCAAATCATTGAAGGCGCAGAAGTCTGAGAAGAGTTCACTATTGTCGTTCATTTCACCGAGGGCCTCTCGACCCATGGTGAGTTCTCTTCGTGTATTGTCTCCTCCCAGCTTCGTATTCATATCGCCCATCAGGATTTTGATATCGCCTTTTGGGACGTTGTCCATTATTGCTTGTAGTTGTCTGTAGAACGCCTCCTTCTTCTCTTGTTCTGAGACGTTTGTAGGCGCATAGCATTGAGTGACTGTAACTTTCCTTCCTTTTGAGCTGAACCTGGCTGTCATTGTCCTGGAGGAGATTGTTTCCCACTGCATGAGAGCTTTGGCTGCTGTTGGTGACATCATGACGGCCACTCCCTCGGTGTGCTCGTGATTGTCCTCTGGGTGACTGGAATAGATTATTGTCTCTCCAGTTGGTAGTTGTCACCTTCCAGTTCCGTTCCATCTGCTTTCGCAGATTCCCAACACTTCTATTCTGTACCTTCTCATTTCAGCGGCTATCTGGGCAGCCTTTCTAGTTTCGTACATTGTACGAACATTCCAGGTACCCATCCTTACTTTTGCTTTCATCGAAAGAAGGCACATCGGCTGACTGGCTTCCCGAAGGCTTTCACCAGCCTGCGTCATTTCACTTCCCCGATTCCAGCGAAAAATAAGGCTATTGTTTATAATTTTAGAATTTTTAATATATTTATTCGTTGAAGTTTCTGTAGCGATTTGGTTGTTTTACGAGGGTGGAGCTGCTATCACCACGCCCCAACCCTCTCTCTTAATCCGGGCTTGGGACCGACAAGAAAACTAGCGAGCTAGTAATCTAGGCGAGGTTCCACATGTGTGTGTACTGAGTATAATCGGTTTCCTCATCATTTATGTGTGTAGTCTTCTTCATCAGGTAGGTGAGTTTCACCAAGTACTACTACTGCGCCTTTGAATTGTTCTCATTAGATAGTTGGAAGCCTTGGGTAGAGGTTTTCTGTTTGTTAGTACTCACCAGTCAGCAAGAAGTATCTACAATCTTGAAAGAAGTCATATCCTTTTCTGAGATTCGAACCCATGTCACTAGACGCATGGTAGTAGTTACTAACTAATGTGTAACTGAAAATATCCAATATATTCCTAGATGAGGTCAATCTCGAGCTTGAATAGCTCAATAATAACATCTCTGACTGCAGCGAACGGTGGAATAGGTTCATATCTCACTTCAGAGACACAGGGATTGACTTGCTACCAGGGAATAATCTCGTTGACTTAGAATATGCAGACGATATGGTCCTTTTAGGCGAGGACGCAGACAAAACAGAGCAGAGTCCTCTGAACACCTCGAGCTGGTTGGGAAATGTGCTACACATGCGTGGCCTAGTCATCGCCTTCCTCGAGAACGGGCTATGTTAGCTGATATAGAGTCAGACTGGAAAAGAGCTAGTGGGGATCAAACCAAACAGGACACCAGTCAATGAAATCCACAACAGTCAGTTTAAGCCAGTGACGTAGGAAGGTGTAGACTTCCTGACTGACGGGTTGGGTTCCTCGGGACGTTAAAAACCAATGAATGCTGCAGACAATTGGTGATGTGGCTCAAAGTGATCGTTCTCAAAGTGGCTGGCCGGTTCAGATGCATCCACTCCTTGTGACTTATGATTTCCAGTGAGACTCTATTGTTCTTCGTTGTTATTATTCCTTATGCCTCATATCCCTGTTTCCTGTGTCTATTATGCATTTCTTGTACTTTCTTCTCTTGCTTTGTGTGTTACAAAGAGGGAGTGTGGCGACTTGAACTGCCGAACATATCTGGAAAGTTCTATGTCAAAAACAGACAGACAGACAGACATTTGAGTAAGTGTAAGGACTAAAAGGCATTAGAATATACGAAGAGGAAATACCAGTCGCCTTTGATGTAAACAGTCTATACTGAAAATACCCATTCAGATGGTTATGGATGCACTGAAAACGAGACTAGACGAGGATAATGACCTGAAAGACAGGACACGATTATCCGTAGAAGAGATCATAAAAGAGGTTGAATTCCGTCTCACAAGAACATATTTTAAATTTGAAGGAAGAATATACCAACAAAATGAAGGAGGAGTAGCCATGGGATTGCCCATCTCACCAATAATAGCTGATATATTCATGGATTTTCGCGAAAAGAATGCACCTAAACCATTCAGGTCATCAATAAAATGTTGGTGGAGATATGTAGACGACAATACGTTAGTAATAATGACAGGGAACAATGTTGGGAAATTCTTCTTACACACATAAACAATCCTGTGAACTGAGTAGAATTCACAATATGGAAGTAGAGAATGAAATTGAGGAACTGGGTGTGTTAGACTGCAAAGTACAAAGAGTAACAGATGGTAGGTAGCATAAAAACGACTCTGTATAGAAAAAAAACTACACATTATCACTCAGCCCCATGGACTCACGGTAAAACGAGAATTAATAGAAGGTCTTGCAGATAGAATACGTAGACTAACAACAACAACTACAACAACAGAGAACCAGCGTAAAGAAATAAACGTCTTATTCACAGTGTTACTCGACAACAACTACCCAGACGAATTTATCATAAATAATATGAAAAAGAGGGTAAAACTAGAGAATGACACGTAGGAGGATGGCGAAAAGACGATCAGAATACCATAGAAAAATGGTACATCAGAGGCGATTGGAAGAAACCTCAGGAAAGTATGGGGATTCGCATCACGTTTAAATTAACGAATCTAATTAAAAATAAAATAAACCAACTGATAGATCCAATAAAAATGATGGATAAAAGTAGTAATGTAATTTACAAAATATCTTGTGTCGAGTGTCCGACTCAATGTGTGGGTCAAACGTTCAGATCACTGAAAATAAGAGTGAATGATGATGATGATAAACGCCTAACTAAAGGTCAACCAACAGGAAGGAACACAAGCTTACAAGAATTTAGAATAAAATTCATGTCTAGCTGCACATGCATGGAACAAAAGCCAGAATATTGATTGGAACAATGTTTGTATTCTGAAAACTACTACGAACAAAAGGAAAGTGAGACTTACAACCGAATCTATATTGATTAAGATCACTCCAGATGCACGTGACAAGAGTGACTCAGTAGCACAACTGTCAACAACCTGGAATATAATTCTGAATACACAAAAATGAATGGAGAAAGAAATAATGAACTATTTATGGATGAGTACAAATCATAAATGTGTGAACTCAAACAAACCAAACAATTCCAATACAGTTGATGTGTGATCACGGGCAGTAATTTTGCTCGAAATATTACCAATAACAAAAGTTATCATTGTGTGCAAACTATTGAAGTATAATTATACTTTATTTGATGTATTTCACAATGTGTGAGCATGAAATAATATCAATAATGAGTAGTTCAGTGAAAATGCATAGAGGGTATTGTATGCTTTAAAGATGATGCAAATATCTATTTATATTATTGTATTCTGTTCTCCTTCCATCTCATCGAATCTTCTGCCAATAAGTTTCTTGAACATCACAAGGACACTTGAAGTAATTTGTTGAGTGGATTTGCTTTTCGTTGTATTTGGGACTTGTCAGGTGGATTTACGTGCATTGCGCAGTGAGTAGGATGTTTTTCCCACTGGGGATCGAACACCAGTACGCGTCATTTGAAACGCTAAAGCCTTAACCAGTGAACCACTTGGGCCACCACGTCTTGCGCAATCGGTATCAATTATTGCTTACTTTTAGTACGATTTTGATTCGACCAAAATGTTCGGTCTCTGTTGATATGTCGGCTCCTTGTGTGGGTGCTTCGCCAATATTTGATAATTAACCTCAATGGTGACTGGCAATGGAACGCATGATGCACATTCCAGACTGTTTGGGACTCCTCGGTACACTGTGTTGACTGCTTAGGATTTCACAGAATTATGTCATTTCATGTTAATCCTCCTCCCGCCTTCTTTTCTTTTCAGACTAATCCTACATAATTAGATCGGTGATAATGTCATCGGTGTGGGTAAAATCTGTTCTCTTCAGCTACTTAAGTTATTGTCGACCATTACTACTAACCGAACTCTTAATGAATTATTTTCTCTAGTGTATACTATCCATTCAATCGTGCTTGTTACGTAATTTTCTTGGCTTAAAGTTTTTCCCTGTGGTGTTAATATTTTTAATTTTTATATAGGCAAAGCATTTCCCTGTGAACAATGTGATAAAAAATTCGCCTCGAAAGCTAATCTTAGCCGACATGTGAAAGCAATTCATCAAGGTGAGAAAATATGTACGTCTCTTTTATTGTTTTTTTGATTACTTTTTATTATCATTATATCATCCCGCTCCTAGTCTGTGCACATTCTTTCATCTCCTCCTCACATGACCTCCTGCAAGTCACCCTTGCACTGAAGACCAACTCGCCGCTTCCCTTTCGGGTTCCATTCGAGGGCTTGTCTAGTGATGTCACTTGATGGTGTCCTCAGAGTATGCCTAATCCTCCTCCATATCTTCCTGATTAATTTGTTTCGCAATCTGTTCCTGGTTGGTTCACTCCCAGAGATCCCCGTGTTGCTAATCTTTCCTGGCCGGCTACTTGATCTTGGATATTGGGCGGAGACAGCTGTTGATGAAGGTTTGAAGTTTGTTCGAGGTTCTCTTTATGACGCGCTGGCCAAATGTCTCATCTGTATAGTAAGTAGCACTGACTTTACATTGGAGTTGAAAATCGGGATCTTATTTTTGGTGCTGAGTGCTGTCGACCTTCACACAGACTTAAGAATAATGAAAGCTTGCTATGCTTTTCAGATCGGCGCTGTTTTGATATCCTCGTCAGTTCCATCCGCCCGTAGTTGAAACGATGCTTCGCAGGTAGGTAGGTAGGTAGAAGATGTTGTTTCTTTCAGATTCCTCCCATTTATGCTGGCTGATTGTTGTCTGTTGTTGCTGTTGGTGTTGGCCAGGAATCATCACCTCTGTTTTATCTATGTTCACCTGAAGTCCTATCTTTGATGCTTCTTCTGCCAGCCTGTTGCTTTTCACTTGCATATCTTCCAGTTTGTCGGAAATCAGACATATATCATCGGCGAAGTCCAGATCCTCCAAGTTTTTTGTGTGAGTCCATTTTATGCGTGTTTCTTCATTGCACGTTGTCTGTCGCATTATCCAATCTACTGCAATCAGGAAGATCATTGGCGATAGTAGGTAGCCTTGTCTCACTCCCGTCCTCACTTCGAAGGATTCTGTAAGTTTCCCGTTGTGGATTACTTGGTATGCAGCACTGTCGTATGACTGTTGGATGAGATGTATAATTGTCGATGGGACCCCGTAGTAGCGAAGTAGTTGCCTAACCACCTCTCGATCGACGCTGTCGAAGGTCATTTCAAAGTCGATGAAGTTGAGTGAGGTAGAGAGGTGACTGCCATTCCAAGCTTTGTTCAATGATGATCCGTAGTGTGGCGATTTGATCAACAAATGACTTGATTCTCCTGAGAATCGTGCCTGTTCCGGTCGAAGTTTTTCATCCAGGTTGGCTTGTTTGATTCTCTCCAGGATGATGCGGCTTAGTATTTTGCTTGGAATGGATAGGAGCATAATTCCGCACCAGTTTTTACATTGACTTAAGTCTCCTTTCCTTGGTAGTTTGAATAAGTATCCTTTCTTCCAATCCTCGAGTACTTTGCCCTCCTTCCACACCTTCTCCAACAAAGGCGTCATCAAGTCCGCTGTTTTCTCTGGGTCTATTATCAATGCTTCCGCTGGGATTCCATCTGGTCCTGCTGCTTTTCGAGCTTCTAGCATCTTGATTGCATTGAGGAATTCTGATTTCGTCTGGCGGGGGGTGTCGATGTTCATTGGTAATTCTGCTTCCGTTGTTGGTATTGTTGGGCGCGTTGTAGGTGGCAGTCGATTTAGAAGTCTTTTGAAGTGTTCAGCCCAGTGTTTTGTGATGCTTTCAACTTATGGCCTTTTTCACTTGTATGGAAAATATTCATGTCGTTAGGTGTCAGCCAGTGAAGAATAGTCTTTTCGTAAATTCGCTTCAAAGTTGTACAATTATACATAAAGAATGTTTGAAAAGGTTAGATGGTTTATTCTTTTACGTTCCCAAGGGAATATAGTGGGCTTCAAGCTAGAGGCGTGAAGCCTCCGTAGGAGTGGTGTTTATTTATATATGGTATGGAGTTGGTAGCCTGGTGCCCAATCTTCCCTCTGTATACCAGTATGATTCCTGGCCTAGGGAGGTAGAGGAGTGCGTCCGTCGTCCGGGTATTGAACCCCGGACCACCTGAGGTGTGGTTGATAAGCGTTTAACCGTTGTCCCACCGACGCACAACATCATTTGGTAACCGAACACATGAAAATTTCTGTCAGTAAATTAAGTAAATTACGTGCGTAATCTGAAGTCATGAATTGGTTGAGTATCGCTGAGAAATGACTACCAGTGAAAGAAACTTCAAGCTATTATGCATAGGATAAACAAATTCAGGATATTTATATAGAGTAAAGAGAAAGTGGACAAACCAACTACTCGATACTTCAGCACTCTTGTTCTTACAAATCATATTCCGAATTTAATGGAAAAAAATCTTCAGTGAAATTTGTCGGAGTGGCTCTTGAGTGTGCATTTTTCCACATCGAAAGTTGTTAATGCGCAGAAGAAACAGCGGAGAATGTTGTACACAGAAGTGGTTTATCCGGTCTGTTTCACTGGTGTGTTTATTTTTGTCAGCTTTAAATAATTTTGCTTGTAATCCATCGCTATTCATTCGTTATTTTCCTGCACTTCTTCTAACCAACAAACTGGTTGAAGAAGCAGTGCAGCCAAGACAGGCCTCCAAGTGGTTAACATAGAGGAGACGAAGGTGATGAAGATAGGCGACCAATCAACTAACAACAACAACAACCGGCACCGATCACCACCATCAGTGGGAGAGATATGACGGGGGTCACTTCTTGCCTTCACTATCTAGGAAGCATGGTTACATACACCTTCACCAACCTGAAACCAGTTTGGAAATCTTCTGAACTAACTCAGCGTAAATAAAAAGATTTGGATTGTCAACATTAATGTGAAGTCAGTTAGTCAGTTCTTCTATACGGGTGAGAAAGTTGCACTGCGTGTCACGAAAAGGATTTCTGACAGCCAATTACAGACTTTTACCAACAGCTGCCTTCGCGGGCTTTAGATTTCGATAATTCGGCAAAGTTAAACTTTCGGCACCACTGTCAACCAATCAGCAAACGACCTTGAACGGGCTAATCACATTGAAGAGGCATTTATGGTTAATGGAAGTGTATATTTCCAGGACTGTGCCTATAAAAATGGCTTGCATTTCTTATAAAAACCCGTTTGTAGGAAAACTTTAACTATTATTGTAAGTCTGTATTGAGTACAATTCACTTCTGGTGTTACTTACGATAAAAATGCTGACAAATATATGCAAATACACCACTTGTTTTAAATCAATACCCAATTCGGATACAAATCAAGAATAAGATCAGATACCAAACACACCAAAGTTATATGAGGGAAATGACCTCAAGCTTTATTTTTTACCCGAGTATTTGTAATCCATCCTAAACATACCTGGGTTTATATGATTACAGCCTGGTACTACGGAGACAATATTTCTACACTTGTCAATGTAGTTGAAGATTGAACGATCAATTCATAGTTGTTTGCTCAAAACCAACTTCCCCAATTTTCGCGGAGGCATCAATACACCAGTCATCGTCTCATCGGTCGCTGTTCAGAAAGAAGTCAGCAGTAAACCGTCAGAAGTAAAATTGTGATTTATTATTGTAATATTTGTTCACAGACCTTCGTGGCATCTTTTTTTATATTTTGGTGTTGCAATAAAGAATTCTCGAGTGGCCAATTGGTGTTTCAGTTTTGCGTCCGTTATTACTAAGCGTTTCTGAGAAACGTCGAGGAACAGCGTGAGTCCCAGCGTAGCAAGAGCTGGGCATTGACGGTTTACGAGACGCGGCTGACAATACTTCTTGACGTGCTCTACTGAATGACCCTTTTTAGATTTTCCTCAGGCACGAATACGAAAACGATAGTAACCATGTTAAAACTGTCTGCTTCGACTTCGGAAGTGTTTTTGATAATGTCCCACACAAGAGACTAAATCTTAAGCTGAAGGATTCCTAGAACCCTTGTTATTCTCTCTCAATTCTTTTTTGGGGACCCTCCTGAAGCTATGGAATTCCCGAATAATTACTTGCCACCCAGACCCATACGAATTGGATTGGTTCAGTTTAGTGTACTATGAACATTGCTTTTCGTAATTTACGTTAACGACATACGCAGTGTAATCGAACATGCTACCCATGCTTTTATGCTGACGGTCTAAAGATTGTATATAGCTTACCCTATTCTACTCTGAACGAGGGATTCACACATATTCAAGACGATCGGGATAGGTCACATAACTAGAGCAATGACAGGCAACTGCCACTCAATTCTGATAAATGTGATATCCTATACTTCAATGACTCCCACCCGAATTTCAAGTCACACCTAGGTGACTCTTTTCTCCATTCCACATAAGACCTGCGCATTACCTACTCACAAAACTCAACGTTCAGTCAGCATGCAAAATCAGTCGTTTCTAAATGCCGAAGACTCACAGGCTTGTTACTCCGAAAAATGTGCACAACTGAGACTGAAGTCCTCTTATACAAAGTCATGGTTCTTCCACTACTTGGATACTGCCCAGTCACCTTCGGTTTTACGCATGGGTGTAATTCGGTTTGTACTGAAGATATCCAGCGAAGCTATACACGACACCTGTTATACACACATGAAGGACTGACTTACGCGGATAGGTGCAAAATATATGGACTTCAGCAACTTTGGCTAAAACACCTGAGACTCAAACCAGCCTCCCCCTTTCGACTTTTATACGGCCACATCGGGAGAAGTGATCCAACAGCTTTCAACAATACAATAGGAATCGCGGAAATACTCTATATATAACCCGGTACCCGACAAAACTCTGTTCACTTATCTTCATCTGATTGCTATTATACTCTATTTTATCTAAAATCCATAGGCACTTAATAAAGCCAAACTTACCCTTCTGTTCGTATTCGTTGCTTCCTTAAATTCAAGTTGCTTTGTGGAAAAACAAAGAATTAACAGCACTAATGTTTGAACACAACCGGATTTTCATTGAAAACATTATAGTTGCCAGTATGTTTAGCGTCAAATATTGCAAATGTATACTATCATTCCGAGGGATCTTTAGCTCTCTCTCATATATATCT